CCTCCAATATAGCCCTCCCATATAGCCCTCCCATATAGCCCTTCCATATAGCCCTCCATTTACCCTCCATATAGCCCTCCATTTACCCTCCATATAGCCCTCCATATAGCCCTCCATTTACCCTCCATATAGCCCTCCATATAGCCCCTCCATATAGCCCTCCATTTACCCTCCATTTACCCTCCATATAGCCCTCCATTTACCCTCCACATACCCCTCCATATAGCCCTCCATTTACCCTCCATATACCCCTCCATATAGCCCTCCATATAGCCCTCCATTTACCCTCCATTTACCCTCCATATAGCCCTCCATTTACCCTCCATATAGCCCTCCATATAGCCCTCCATTTACCCTCCATATACCCTCCATATACCCCTCCATATAGCCCTCCATTTACCCTCCATATACCCCTCCATATACCCTCCATATAGCCCTCCATATAGCCCTCCATATAGCCCTCCATTTACCCTCCATATACCCCTCCATATAGCCCTCCATTTACCCTCCATTACCCTCCATATAGCCCTCCATATAGCCCTCCATTTACCCTCCATATACCTCCATTTACCCTCCAATAGCCCTCCATATAGCCTCCATATAGCCCTCCATATAGCCTCCATTTACCTCCATATAGCCCTCCATTTACCTCCATATAGCCCTCCATATAGCCCTCCATATAGCCCTCCATATTGCCCTCCATTTACCCTCCATATAGCCCTCCATTTACCCTCCATATAGCCCTCCATATACCCCTCCATATAGCCCTCCATATAGCCCTCCATATAGCCCTCCATATAGCCCTCCATTTACCCTCCATATAGCCCTCCATTTACCCTCCATATAGCCCTCCATATAGCCCTCCATTTACCCTCCATATAGCCCTCCATATAGCCCTCCATATAGCCCTCCATTTACCCTCCATTTACCCTCCATATAGCCCTCCATTTACCCTCCATATAGCCCTCCATTTACCCTCCATATAGCCCTCCATATAGCCCTCCATATAGCCCTCCATTTACCCTCCATATAGCCCTCCATATAGCCTCCATTTACCTCCATATAGCCCTCCATAAGCCCTCCATATAGCCCTCCATTTACCCTCCATATAGCCCTCCATTTACCCTCCATTACCCTCCATAGCCCTCCATTTACCCTCCATTTACCCTCCATTTACCCTCCATATAGCCCTCCATTACCCTCCATATAGCCCTCCATTTACCCTCCTTAGCCCTCCATATACCTCCTTACCCTCCATTATAGCCCTCCATATAGCCCCTCATTTACCCTCCATATAGCCCTCCATTTACCTCCATATAGCCCTCCATATAGCCCTCCATATACCCTCTATTTACCCTTCCATTTACCTCCATATAGCCCTCCATTTACCTCCATATAGCCCTCCCCCTTAGCCTCCATATAGCCCCCTCCCTATAGCCCTCCATATGCCCTCCATATAGCCCTCCATTTACCCTCCATTTAGCCCTCCATTTTACCCTCCATTACCCTCCCTATAGCCCTCCATTTACCCTCCATATAGCCCCCTACCCATATAGTCTTACTCCATTTACCCCCCATATAGCTCCATCCCCATTTACCCTCCCTTTACCCTCCATATAGCCCTCCATTTACCCTCCATATAGCCAACTCCATATACCCTCCATTTACCCTCCATATACCCTCCATTAGCCCTCCATTTACCCTCCATATAGCCCTCCATTTACCCTCCATAATAGCCCTCCATATTACCCTCCTTATACCCTCCATTTACCCTCCATTACCCTCCATATAGCCCTCCATTTACCCTCCAAAAGCCCTCCATTTGCCCTCCATTTACCCTCCATATAGCCCTCCATATACCCTCCATATAGGCCCCCATATAGCCCTCCATATAGCCCTCCATTTACCCTCCATATAGCCCTCCATTTACCCTCCATTACCCTCCATATAGCCCTCATTTACCCTCCATTTAACCCTCCATATAGCCCCCCATTACCCTCCATTTACCTCAATAGCCTCATATAGCCCTCCATTTACCCTCCATATAGCCCTCCATTTACCCTCCATATAGCCCTCCATTTACCCTCCATATAGCCCTCCATATAGCCCTCCATTTACCCTCCATAAGCCCTCCATATAGCCCTCCATAAAATTTGCCCTCCATTTACCCTCCAAAACCCTCCTTAAACCTCCATTTACCCTCCATATAGCCCTCCATATAGCCTCCATTTATTAACCTCCATATAGCCCTCCATTTACCCTCCATATGCCCTCCATTTACCCTCCATATAGCCCTCCATTTACCCTCCATATAGCCCTCCAACCCTCATACCCTCCATATAGCCTCCATCCCTCTTACCCTCCATATAGCCCTCCATTTACCCTCCATATAGCCCTCCATTTACCTCCATATAGCCCCCTCCCATAAGCCCTCCATATAGCCCTCCAATTTACCTCCATATAGCCCTCCATATACCCTCCATATAGCCCTCCATATACCCTCCATATAGCCCTCCCATATACCCTCCATATAGCCCTCCATTTACCCTCCATATAGCCCTCCATTACCCTCCATATACCCCATTACCCCCCATATAGCCCTCCATTACCCTCCTATAGCCCTCCATATAGCCCTCCATATAGCCTCCATATAGCCCTCCATTTACCCTCCATATAGCCCTCCATTTACCCTCCATATAGCCCTCCATTTAACCTCCATATAGCCCTCCATTAGCCCTCCATATACCCTCCATATTAGCCCTTCCATATAGCCCTCCATAAGCCCTCCATTTACCCTCCATATAGCCCTCCATTACCCTCCATATAGCCCTCCCTATACCCTCCATATAGCCCTCCATATAGCCCCCATATAGCCCTATGCCCTCAAAAGACCCCTCAATAAAGTACTGCCCGCAAAAACCCCCTCCATAAAGTATAGCCCTCATATTGCCCTCAAAATAGCCCTCAATATACCTCTCCATAAAGTATAGCCCCCAAAATCCCACTACATATACCCCTCCATACAGTGCCTTGCCAAAGTATTCATCCCCCTTGGCGTATTTCCTATTATGTTGCATTACAACCTGTAACTTAAATGGATTTTTATTTGGATTTAATGTAATGGACATACACAAAATAGTCCAAATTAGTGAAGTGAAATGAAAAAAATAACTTGTAAAAAGGAATTCAAAGAAATATATAACAGAAAAGTGGTGCGTGAATGTATTCACCCCCTTTGCTATGAAGCCCCTAAATAAAGATCTGGTGCAACCTTTTACCTTCAGAAGTGGGGCCCTGTGTAGCTCAGTTGGTAGAGCATGGCGCTTGCAACGCCAGGGTTGTGGGTTCGTTTCCCACGGGGGGCCAGTATGAAAAATGTATGCACTCACTAACTGTAAGTCGCTCTGGATAAGAGCATTGCTAAATGACTAAAATGTAAATGTAGAAGTCACATAATGAGTTAAATAAAGTGTGCTTAGTGGTGTGCAATCTAAGTGTCACATGATCTGTCACATGATCTCAGTAAATATACACCTGTTCTGAAAGGCCCCAGAGTCTGCAACACCACTAAGCAAGGGGCACCACCAAGCAAGAGGCACCATGAAGACCAAGGAGCTCTCCAAACAGGTCAGGGACAAAGTTGTGGAGAAGTCAGGGATGGGTTATAAAAAAATATCAGAAACTTTGAACACCCCACGGAGCACCATTAAATCCGTTATTAAAAAATGGAGAGAATATGGCACCACAACAAACCTGCCAAGAGAGGGCCGCCCACCAAAACTCACGGACCAGGCAAGGAGGGCATTAATCAGAGAGGCAACAAAGAGACCAAAGATAACCCTGAAGGAGCTGCAAAGCTCCACAGCGGAGATTGGAGTATCTGTACATAGGACCACTTTAAGCCATACACTCCACAGTGCTGGGCTTTACGGAAGAGTGGCCAGAAAAAAGCCATTGCTTAAAGAAAAAAATAAGCAAACACGTTTGGTGTTCGCCAAAAGGCATGTTGGAGACTCCCCAAACATATGGAACAAGGTACTCTGGTCAGATGAGACTGAAATGTAGCTTTTTGGCCATCAAGGAAAATGTCTGGCGCAAACCCAACACCTTTCATCACCCCGAGAACACCATCCCCACAGTGAAGCATGGTGGTGGCAGCATCATGCTGTGGGGATGTTTTTCATCGGCAGGGACTGGGAAACTGGTCAGAATTGAAGGAATGATGGATGGCGCTAAATACAGGGAAATTCTTGAGAGAAACCTGTTTCAGTCTTCCAGAGATTTGAGACTGGGACGGAGTTTCACATTCCAGCAGGACAATGACCCTCAAAATACCCCTCCATGGCATAATAAGTCATGTCAAACTGTGTAGAATTGCAGGAAATGCGTTTTAAAATGTCCCCAAATAATTTTTGGGGAGGACCAGTCTACGGTTCTTCCCCCCTAATATCTACACCACAATTTAGTCCCTTGGTTTGTGTGTCTTACTGTGCAGCTGTTCACATCTACATAGCAGATTTCTGGTTGTGAGTTCTACCACTAACCCTGTGTGTGTCTGTGCGTGTGTGTGTCTGTGCGTGTGTGTGTCTGTGCGTGTGTGTGTCTGTCTGTCTGTCTGTCTGTCTGTGTGTGTCTGTGTGTGTGTGTGTGTGTCTGTGTGTGTGTCTGTGTGTGTGTGTCTGTGTGTGTGTGTCTGTGTGTGTCTGTGTGTGTGTGTCTGTGTGTGTGTGTGTGTGTGTGTGTGTGTCTGTGTGTGTGTCTGTGTCTCTGTGTGTGTGTCTGTGTGTGTGTGTGTGTGTGTGTGTGTGTGTGTGTGTCTGTGTGTTTGTTTAACTATACTTGTGAAGGTCCCCACAAGAACAGTACATTAACAAAAATTTGACCAACTGGAGACATTTTGTTAGTCCCCACAAGGTCAAATGATATTTCTAGGGGGTTTAGGCGTTAAAAGGTTAGTTTTAGGGTTAGGTTTTTGGTTAGGGAAAATAGGATTTTGAAGGTCAGTTGTAGAAGACTGTGTGTCTCACCATGCAGCTGTTTCCCTCCACATAACTGATGTCCGGTAGAGAGTTCTTGGCGTAGATGGAGATGATCACCTGACTTCCTGTCTGGTGCCAGTCAAACCTGCACGGAACCACCGTCTTACCCTACACAAACACAAACAAACAGGGTCAGAATCACACACACACACACACACACACACACAAACACAAACACACAGGGTCAGAATCACACACACACACACACACAGACAGGGTCAGAATCACACACACACACACACACACACACACACACACAAACACAAACACACAGGGTCAGAATCACACACACACAAACACACACACACACACACACACACACACACACACAGGGTCAGAATCACACACACACACACACACACACACACACACACACACACACAGGGTCAGAATCACACACACACACACACACACACACAAACACACAGGGTCAGAATCACACACACACACACACACACACACACACACACCAACGTACACACGGACACACTAGAAGTGACTTCTAGGTTGTAAAACCATGGTTGGTCAGTTGTCCAACACCCTGTATTCCATTTCTCTGTCCAGTCTGAAACCAGAAGGTGGAGATATACACTCAGGGTGTGTCCCAATAATCTATTTTTCAACCAAAGTGTGCACTTGTTCACTTCCATTCATGGATTTCAAAAGGAAATGACTGGTATATGGAAACTCTTTCTAGCCAATGCCTTCATAAATCCAATGGGTTTAAATGTGTTGGGGAGTGGTGAACGAGGCACAGAAAGGAGAGATCATTGGACCTCAACCTCTAACATGCTCTCTGAACACACACACACACACACACACACACACACACACACACACACACACACACACACACACACCCCGACCCACCGTGTCTTTCTTCTTCCAGAGGTGGTTGCCGCGGCTACAGCCCTCCTGTGAGAGGAACGTGTTGAAGTCTGACGTTTTCTTCTTGCAACAGCTCCAGTACTTCATACTGGGAAGACACATACATACACACACACACACACACACACACACACACACACACACACACACACAGAGACATACAAACACAGAGACACCAGAAACACACACACACACACACGGATTCAAGCACAAAACACACACACACACACACACACACACAAACACAAATCAAGCACAACACACACACACACACACACACACACACACACACACGATTAACTAACAACAAATCTGAAGCCAAAAAGCAGTCAGGAATATGTTATTGACATCTCTGTAGATTTGCAGAGTCATTAGCTAGTCATTAGCTAGTAAGCACAGCTAGTCATTAACTAGCATCCACAGCTAATCATTAGCTAGTCATTAGCTATCAAGCATAGCTAGTCACTAGCTAGTAAGCACAGCTAGTAATTAGCTAGTAAGCACAGCTAGTCATTAACTAGCATGCACAGCTAATCATTAGCTAGAAAGCACAGCTAATCATTAGCTAGAAAGCACAGCTAATCATTAACTAGCAAGCACAGCTAGTCTTTAGCTAGTAAGCACAGCTAGTAATTAGCACAGCTAGTGGTCCTCTGTAGCTCAGCTGGTAGAGCACGGCGCTTGTAACGCCAAGGGTAGTGGGTTCGATCCCCGGGACCACCCATACACAAAAAAAAAAATTATGCACGCATGACTGTAAGTCGCTTTGGATAAAAGCGTCTGCTAAATGGCATATTATATTATATTATTAGATAGTCATTACCTAGTAAGCACAGCTCATCATTAGCTACTCATTAGTCAGTAATTAGCTAGCAAGCACAGTCATTAGCTACTCATTAACTAGCAAGCAGAGCTTGTCATTAGCTAATAAGCACAGCTAGTCGTTAGCTAGTAAGCACAGCTAGTCATTAGCTAGCAAGCACAGCTATTCATTAATTAGCAAGCACAGCTAGTCATTATCTAGAGTGTACAGCTAGTCATTAGCTAGTAAGCACAGCTAGTCATTAGTTAGTAAGCACAGCTGGTCATTAGCTAGTAAGCACAGCTAGTCATTAGCTACTCATTAACTAGCAAGCAGAGCTAGTCATTAGCTAGTCATTAGCTAGTAAGCACAGCTAGTCGTTAGCTAGTAAGCACAGCTAGTCATTAGCTAGCAATCGCAGCTAATCATTAATTAGCAAGCACAGCTAGTCATTAGCTAGAGTGTACAGCTAGCCATTAACTAGCAAGCATAGCTAGTCATTAGCTAGTAAGCACAGCTAGTCATTAGCTAGTCATTACCTAGTAAGCACAGCTGTCATTAACTAGTCATTACCTAGTTAGCACAGCTCATCCTTTGCTACTCATTAGTCAGTCATTAGCTAGCAATCACAGTTAGTCATTAGCTACTCATTAACTAGCAAGCACAGCAAGTCATTAGCTAGTAATTTGCTAACAAGCACAGCAGGTCATTAGCTAGTTATTAGCTAGCAAGCACAGTTAGTCATTAGCTAGTAAGCACTGCTCATCATTAGCTACTCATTAGTTAGTCATTAGCTAGCAAACACAGCTAGTCATTAGCTAGCAAGCACAGCTTTTTATTAGCTAGAAAACACAGCTAGTCATTAGCTAGTAAGCACAGCTAATCATTAGCTAGTAAGCACAGCTAATCATTAGCTAGTAAGCACAGCTAATCATTAGCTAGCAAGCACAGCTAGTAATTAGCTAGTCATTGGCTAGTAAGCACAGCTAGTCATTAGCTAGTCATTAGCTAGTAAGCACAGCTAGTCATTAGCTAGTCATTGGCTAGTAAGCACTGCTCATCATTAGCTACTCATTAGTTAGTCATTAGCTAGCAAAAACAGCTAGTCATTAGCTAGTAAGCACAGCTAGTCATTAGCTAGTAAGCACAGCTAGTCATTAGCTAGCAATCACAGCTAATCATTAGCTAGCAAGCACAGCTAGACATTAGCTAGCAATCACAGCTAATCATTAGCTAGCAAGCACAGCTAGACATTAGCTAGTCATTAGCTAGCAAGCACAGCTAGTCATTATCTAGTCATTAGCAGTCATTAGCTAGCAAGCAGTGAGTCATTAGCTAGTCATTAGCTAGTAAACACAGCTAGTCATTAGCTAGTAAGCACAGCTAATCATTAGCTAGTAAGCACAGGTAGTCATTAGCTAGTAAGCACAGGTAGTCATTAGCTAGCAAGCACAGCTAGTCATTATCTAGTCATTAGCAGTCATTAGCTAGCAAGCAGTGAGTCATTAGCTAGTCATTAGCTGGTAAGCACAGCTAGTCATTAGCTATTAAGCACAGCTAGTCATTAGCTATTAAGCACAGCTAGTCATTAGCTAGCAAACACAGTAACCAGTTGATCATTTAACTGCACGTTGTTGTTTTTTTGTTTCACGTTCCATTTGGGGACCATGTCAAATGTCTCCACTTAATACTCAGCAAACAGATATTGAGTGTGAAGTGTGTGGTGTTACAGCCGCAGACAGAAGATGATGCAACCTGTGTTGTGTGTGTGGTTGACGTACCCTTCATGGAAGATGGGTACTCCAGCGTGGAAAAGACACAGTTGGTCATTGCTGGCAGGGCCCTCAAAGCTCCGGGCACAGCCTCCATTCTTACACAGCGTCCCTACCTTAACCTCACCATCATCCTCCTCTGGAGAACAGACACAGGGAAGACTAGTTACTGTTATGTCCTGTACTGATGTAATGAAGACTAGTTACTGTTATGTCCTGATGTAATGAAGACTGGTTACTGTTATGTACTGATGTAATGAAGACTAGTTACTGTTATGTCCTGATGTAATGAAGACTAGTTACTGTTATGTCCCTGTACTGATGTAATGAAGACTAGTTACTGTTATTATGATTAAAAGAAGACTGATTAAATGTTTGTTGATTCCCCTAAAACTATTCTGGGTTTTCCGATGTAATGACGACTATTTTCTGTTTTGTCCCGATGTATAAACCCGTTTTAAAAGTTTGTCCCTGATGTAAAGAAAACTATTTTCTTTTAATTTTTCCCGATGTAATGAAGAAAATAGTTTTCTTTTTTGGGGCCCGATTTTTGAAGACCGTTTCCCGTTTGTCCTGAAAAGGGGAAAGGAAAACTGGTTTTCTGTTTGTAAATGATGTAAAGAGACTGTTACTTTTAAGGTTTCCCGATGTAAAGAATCTTTTCTGTTTGTCCTGATGTAATGAAGACTGGTTTTCCCGTTATTGTCCTGATTTTAATGAAGACTGGTTCCCTTTTTTTCCTGATGTAATGGGAAAAAAAGGTTTCCCGGGTTTTTTCCTGTACTGAAAGTAATGAAGACTAGGGACTGTTTTTTGTTTTTTATGTAAAGAAAACTTTCTGGTTTGTTCTTTGGTAAGGGAAAACATTACTGTTATGTCCTGTGTAAAGAAAACGGTTTTTGTTTTGGGCCTGATTAAAAGAAGACAGTTTCCGTTATGCCTGTAGATGGGAATTAAACTATTAAATGTTTGGTTCTGGGTGGGAATTAAGACAGTTCTGTTTTTTCTGAGGTAATGAAGACAGTTTGTTTTGGGGCCTGATTAATAAACTAGTTACTTTTTATGTCCTGTATGATTAATGAAACTATTACTGTTAGTTCTGATGTAATGAAACTAGTTTTCTGTTTTTTCCCCGAATTTTAAAGAAAAACCCATTTCTTATGTCCTTATGTAAAAGAAAACTATTTAAATGGGTTTTGTCCCGAGTAATGAAAACTGTTACTTTCTAATTTCCCGATGTAAAGAAGACTAGTTAAAGTTCCCTTTCTGTTAAATTAAGACTGTTCCCGTTATGTTCTTTAAAGTAATGAAGACTAGTTACTTTTTTACGGGTTTTGGTTTTTAAAGAAGACTATTTTTAAATTCTTTAAGTCCTGGGTTAATGAAGCCCAGTTTCTGCTAAGTGGTGTTGAAGACCCAGTTAATGTCATGACTGATGAAATGAGACTGGGTTTCTGTTATTTTCTTTGTAATGAAACTAGTTACTGTTATGTTTTCCCGATGTAAAGAAGACTAGTTCCCGGTTTTGGTTTCCCCGGGGGAAAAGAAAAAATTACTTTTGGGCCCCGTACTGATTTAAAGAAGACTTTTACTTTTATGGGCCTGAGGGAAAGAAACAGTTTCTGTTTTTCCGGGAAATGATGTTTAAGAAGACTGTTATTTTTCTGATGTAAAGAAAACTGGGTTTCTGGTTTTTGTCCTGATGTAAAGAAAACTAGTTCTGTTTGTCCTGTACTGATGCAATGAAACTAGTTCCTGTTAGTCCCCGAATTTAATTAAGACAGTTACTTTTTATGGTCCCCGATGGGAAAAAAAGACTAATTTTACGGGTTTTGGGCCTTATTAATGAAGATAGTTTTCTGTTATGGTCCTGATTAAAAGGGAAAACTGTTACGTTATTTCCTGTTAAATGATGTAATTTAAGACTAGTTTCTGTTTAAGTCCCATTTAATGAAAAAAACATTACTGTTATTCCTTTTAAAAGAAGACTAGTTTCTGTTTATGTCCTGATTAATAAAACCCCGTTTTCTGTTTGTCCTGTACGATGTAAAAGAAAACTAGTTCTGTTATGTCCCTTTTCTGATGTTTAAAGAAACAGTTTCTGTTTTTGTCCTGATGTAATGAAGACTATTACTGTTTTGGGCCTGATGTAAAGAAAAACTAGTTACTGTTTTTTTCCTGAAAGTAAAGAAACTAGTTACTTTTTGTTCCCCCGATGTTGAAAACTATTCTTTATGGGCCTTACGGGTAATTGAAGGTTTACTGTTTATGTCCCGTACGGGTTCATTAAAATGGGTTCCCGTTTTCCTGATTAATGAAATTTTCCTGTTATGTCCCCATGTAATGAAGACTGGTTTAACTGTTATGTCCCGGAAATTTAAAGAAGACTAGTTACTGTTTTTTGGGGCCTGATGTAAGGAAAACTATTTCCCCCTTTTTGTTTCCCGATGGGAATGAAGACTATTACTTTTTGCCTGATTAATGAAAAATAGTTTTTTCTGTTATGTCCTGAT